CCGGTTGGGTGGGGGGGGGGGGCAGGGAGAACAAGAGACTTGTCGGAGACGAATGTGAATGGCAACAGCCTGGGGAAGGGATGCAGCGGGATGGAGCTGCGCTGACCTGGTGTCCCCCGTCCCCCCCCAGGTGGATGGGTTGCTCCTTGGGACATCGAGGGCTCTGGCCCCCCAGCAGCATGCGGTGACGGTGCTGGTGTCCCAGATAGGTGCTGCATGGTGGGGTGACCCTGGAGGGGAGGAAAAGCGGATGCTCCGCAGGTTCCTCTCTGACCTGGGATCCAACGCACTGAACGTGGGAAAGGAAAATCCACCTGTGAGGCCAGTTTGTCCGGCTCGGCCGTCCAAGGGGGAGCTTTCTGCTGAGGCCAGCAGCCCTACCCCTCGGCCCTTGAGCTGAGCCCGGCTGTCAGCCTGTGGAATTACAGGGCTGGGAGTTCCCGGCTGCCCAGCGGCCACACTAAACCCCTCAATCGCATTAGCCAGAATTGGATTACGGGACGCGCACTGTTCCACGACGCAAATAGCTCTGCTGGCGCCGCTCCTGGGGGCTTTCGCTTCCCGGGCGTGTTTCACCTTCCAGCTGGAGGGGGCAGTTTCTAGATGGGAAGCTGCTCAGGCTCTTTAAGAGGCCACGGGGGAAATTCTCATAGGGCACGTCTACATTGCAATCAGGGCCGCATTATGATTTTCATGGGCCCTAGGGCCCCTTCCTCCATAAAAAAATATTAAACATTATTTTTGATAACTTTAAATACTTCATTTTTTTTCTGTTTTAGGCAAAATGTAATAGATTTTCGTGGGCCCTAAAAGTTTCATTTTTTTTCTGATGTGAGAAAAAAATTAAAACATTTTCTTCAACCCTAAAAGTTTTTTTTCTTCTGATTTTTAAAGAAAACATTTTCGTGGGCCCCTAAAAGTATCATGGACTTTTAGGGGCCCATGAAAATATCATGGACCCTAGGCACTGTGCCTACTGAGCCTAATGGATAAGTCGACCCTGATTGCAATTAAACCAATGTGACTCTGGTTTGGGCTGGGGCTTTAGACAGCCTGGGCCCCAGCCCAGCTACCTACACCCCATTTACACAGCCCTAGAGGCTAAGCCCCAGGAGGCTGAGTCAGCTGACATGGGCCGGGTGCCAGGGTAGACACGCCCCCGTGCTCCTGTTTCTGAAATCCAGATCCCAGTCCTCTAGAAGCTGGAGTGTAGGTGACGGGAAAGTCAGATTAGCCGAGGCTCTGAAGCGGGTTGGCTCTACTCTGTTGCACCGAGTGCTTAGAGCTTCCCCCCCCTTTCTACCTGGCGGGGGCTGAATGGCAGTTTCCGAGAGGTGCCCAGTTACCACGGAGTGTGGCAGGTGTGACTGATGGAGGGTTAACTGAAAGCAGGGAGCATGGAGGGTAAAAAGCCTCCGGTGACACAGGGCTCCAGCTGGCGCTTTAGGTTGTAGGGCAGGGCGAAAGGCGGCCTCTCCTGTTTCCCTTGGGGAGGGGCATGGCTCCAACCCAGCGCCTGTTGGCAAAGGGGGCGGGGTGCAACTTTTGTTCACCGCTCAGGTTTCCGACCCTCCTGAACAGGAGAACCTCTGGTCAGTTTCTAACTCGATCAGCCACACCCCTGGCGTTACTCCATCTGGCAGCCGCAGACACCGGAACCAACACCGTCCAGTGCTGTGTTGAACGCAGACTAAAAAAGGGAAAAGTCGCATTTTCCTTCTGCATCGTACCGCTGCAGTCCCAGAACCGCCCCCAGCCCCTGCTCCCCTGGGCCGTGGCCTGAAAGGGGAGACTCGGGCGTACCTGTCTCGAACCCCCTGGAAAGCTGACGCTGTGGTTTGTGGTGCGCTAGCCGGCTTAGGAGGGCTTTAGCTGCTCCTGAAGTGGATTAGGAGGGAGCTGAGCCAAGTAATTCACAAGCTTGCACACAAGGGTACCTCTGTGCTGGGACGAGGGGTTTGTCTGCCTCCTGTTAGGGCCGAGCCTTTGCCAACACCCCTCCTAACTAGAGGCAGGCCCATGTCTTGGCTTCACTGGAAAAGCAGAGCGTGTATGGGGGTCTAACACCCAGGGGACCGAGTGTAGGGTAAAACGGGTCGAGTGGTAAGAGCAGTGCTCGGCTAGCTGGCTTTTATGGCGGGTGCTGAGAAGTAATGTTGGGTCATGAGAGCGCAAGCGGAGGCAGCACTCCCTGGATGCGTTTATGGCTGGCTCTGCCACCGATGTGCTCGCTGACCTTGGGCAAGCCACTTCTCGGTGGCGTGGTCTGTAAAATGGAGACAGTACTTCCCTTATTCGGGAAGGGGGGGCAGAGGTTAGTGGGGGACCTCTAAGGGAAAGAATGATCCCAAGGACAGGTGCCCGATGTGCTAATTGTCTTTATTTTCCTCTTTGTAGCCTCCAAAGCAGCAGTGCAGCTGGGTCAAGAATCTGACAAGACCAAGTGAGGACGGAGCTCCCAGCGGCCGGCTGTTCTGATCCCCTCCCCGCCCCAACTGCAACTTCCTAGACCAAAAGCTTGAAGTGACACCCCGCTCCTCCCGGCGATAAAGCGGCAAGCCCCCTCCCATTCGCCAGCCCTTAGCGCCAACAAGCCCCTGCCTCCCAGGGCTCTGTAAGAAGCACAGACCTCCCCAAACCAAGCTCTGCAAGGGGGCGGTCCGTGCCTAGGCTCCGTGGGAACCGCTGACTTCCAATAGACAGTGTTTGGTAGTTCCTGTTTCTCAGGGCGCCTTTCTTCTGGGGGCGGGGCTTTCGGTGTCGTTTCCCCAGCGTGTTCTAGAACACGGGGTCGAAGTCGGGGTGAGGCGGGGGAGGGGTACAATCCGCTGCTGAGGGCCCTCGGGAATTCGCTGGGCTGGAGCTCGGGTTGTCTGAGCCTTGTGATCAGGGAGTCCTGTGCAAGCAGCCCCTCTGGAATATCGCCCCCCCACCTGGGACCTGCCCCTCTAGCCTTATGGGGGCCTGCGGGCCGGGGGGGAATTGGGATGCAGTGTGACTCCGTGGGGCTGGGAGAATGACTGCACCCCAATTAACACTGGCTATGAAGCCCCCCTCCCTCCTCCTAACACAAGAGCCTCCGCAATAAGCCACAGCCCAGAAGGGAGGCGGACGTGGGTTTCGTAGCCACGGGGTCTATGCGCTGAGTCCCAGGGGTCTTTCCATGGCTCCGGCTTGGTCCGGGTTCGCTGTGGCCGGCCCGGGCCCGGCTCTCCAGTTCCCCTGGCCCAGTCTTGTGCTGCTTCTCTCGGGTCAGCGGCCCTGCTTCCCCCTTTTGCCCCGGGGCCGGCCTGCTGGGCAAAGGAGCCGGCCGTGCGAGGGCGGGGGGTGAGCTCTGAGAGAAGGCAGGTCACGCCTGGGTTCAGCGCTCTTGAAGTGCTGACTCATGATCGTCCCTGTTGCACTTCCCTGCTAGCAGTTTCATACCTGACCAAGCTGCCCTGGCAGTTCAGAGATTCCTTCTCTAACTCCCCTTCGTCACTCCCTGCCCCAGCTGCCTGGCGGCCTCTGCTCCAGTCCCCACCTGGAGGGAGGCTCCAGGCCAGGAAGGGATGTGTTGGGTCTTGCACAGGTGCCAAGAATGTGGTTGGAGACAGGAGCACCAAGCTGTGATCAGCAACAGGGTCTGGGAATCACCCGTGTCCCGACAGTCTGCTTAGGTGCTGGCTGGGCCGTGCCCTTCCAGAAGTGGACAAGGGAGGGTCTCCAGCAGGGTGTTGGCTGCTTTCCTGGCCTGTTTGCTTCCCAGGGGGGTGACCCTGGGCTTTCACTACTTCGAGATCATCCTGGAATGAGTGGGGTCCGTTTATGAAGAAACCTGATAGTCTGTCTCCTCCACTCTCCCTCTGCCCTTCAGGCGTGGAACCTGCGGCCTGCCTGCGTTGGGCTCGCGGTTCTCCATCGCGCCCGCCTCCTTCGAAAATAAAACAGGCATTGATCTGATTTGCATAATCCCAGCCGCAACAAGCTGTGCATTTTGTAGAGCGCACTCGGCCTCCGTTCGGCCTCAGGGGTGACTCCATGCCCTGCCTGCTTTTTTTATTAGCAAGGAACGGTGGTTCATTCCCCGATTTATTTGTTTCTTTGTCTCCGTTGGTTGTGTCTGAGACAGAATAAAGGGGACTCTGACCGACTCTGTTCTGTGCATGGGTTTTATTTGCATTGCTTGTTCTCTTAGTGCTTGGTGATAGTCCGGGTGAAACACATACCTGCTGAGTGCAAGGGAAGTTCCCCCTACAGCAGCTTAGAGGAGGGGCTAAAGAATCTCAGAACACTAGAACTGGAAGGGACCTCGAGAGGTCATCGAGTCCAGTCCCCTGCCCTCAGGGCAGGACCAAGCACCATCTAGACCGTCCCTGACCGGTGTCTCTCCAACCTGCTCTTAAATCTCTCCAGAGATGGAGATTCCACAATCTCCCTAGGCAATTTATTCCAATGTTTAACCACCCTGACAGTTAGGCTGCGTCTAGACTGGCAAGTTTTTCTGCAAAAGCACTTGCTTTTGCACAAAAACTTGCCAGCTGTCTACACTGGCCGCTTGCTTTTGCGCAAAAGCACTGACGTTCTACTGTCCGAAATCAGTGCTGCTTGCGCTAATGCTTTGACGTTCCCATTCGGGCAAAAGCCTTTTCCGGAAATGTTTTTGTGCAAGAGAGCCAGTGTAGACAGCTAAAAACTGTTTTGCGCAAAAAAGCCCCGATGGTAAAAATGGCGATCGGGGCTTTCTTGCGCAAAACCGTGTCTAGATTGGCACAGATGCTTTTCCGCAAAAGGTGCTTTTGTGGAAAAGTGTCCGTGCCAATCTAGACGCTCTTTTCTGCAAATGCTTTTAATGGAAGAGTTTTTCCATTAAAAGCATTTGCGGAAAATCATGCCAGTCTAGACGTAGCCTTAGGAAGTATCTCCTAATGTTCAACCTAAACCTCCCTTGCTGCAGTTTAAGCCCATTGATTCTTGTCCTGTCCTCAGAGGCCAAGGAGAACAATTTTTCTCCCTCCTCCTTGTAACACCCTTTTAGGTATTTGAAAGCTGCTCTCATGTCCCTTCTCAGTCTTCTCTTTTCTAAACAAAACAAGCCCAATTCTTTCAGCCTTCTCTCCCAGCTCATGTTCTCTAGACCTATAACCATTCTCGTTGCTCTTCTCTGAAGACAACAGATGCCCCCTTCTGCCATAGCATCTCCACCCTACGCAGGGGGCACTTTTGGAGTAGGCAGGAGGCTCAGAAGGGAGATTAGGCCCGGACTCAGGCACTTGAGTGCCCTTGGCTTGCTTCACGTGGACAGCAGACATCCTCTGAGGGTAACCACTTAGGAATGGTCTGAATCGGCTCCAGTGTGGATGCAATGCCCCAGCGTCTGTGAGTTGCTTGCTGCTTTAGCCAGGGCTGAACTTAGCCTCTCTGCTACTCGCCTTGCAGTACAGGCCGTCCCCGGGTTACATGGATCTGACTTACATTGGATCCCTACTTACAAATGGGGTGAGGCAACCCCGCACTAGCTGCTTCCCCCCAGCAGACCAGGGAGACGCAGAGAAGCTTTTCTCAGCAGGCACCTCAGCTTGAGAATAAAGGACTGAGGGAAGTGAGGTGTGGGAGAATAAAACTGAGCTCTGGAGAAATGTTTGGCTAGAGTTTCCCCTACAATATGTACCAGTTCCGACTTACATACAAATTCAACTTAAGAACAAACCTACAGTCCCTATCTTGTACATAACCCGGGGACTGCGTGTAATCACATAATTATGCTTGAGCGATTTTGTTAGTGCTGCAGGATTTGCAACTAAGTTTGTGTATCAAGTAGGGATGTAAAATCCTATTTAATCAGTTAACGGCTTAAATGAGATCCTACAGGTGGGGGCCAGCCTGGCCTGCCCACAGTGGGGTGGGCTTGGCCAGGCAGGAACAGCCCCCCAGCCCGCCCCCCGTGGGCTGCTCCGGGCCCAGCCGAGCTGCCACTGGGCAGGGAACTCCTCATGTGCAGCCCAGGCACTCCATGCGGCAGGTGGGCGGGGAGCTGCACTGACCCTGCTAGCCATAGGTGAGTTGTGGTAGCATGTTTAAGGTGCACCACCCCCCATGCTCCTGCCAAAGTTGTAATTGTCAATGGGGTGCCCCTACATGCCTCCGCCCCTGCTGGCTCCAGTCACCTATATATGTGCTGCTGTCCCGGCTAGCGGCCCTCAGATCACATACACAGAGAACAAGGAGTCTGCTCTACAGCCTTAGCTGCCGGGGCGGAGATTCCTGCACGAGGTGCCAGAGGTCCCAGGTTTGCTTCTGTTACGCGGGGTCCCCCAGCCCATGTCAAACGTGCTGCCTCAAGGCACAAGTCCCTGCCTCCCACTCACAAGCTGCCCACGGCTTTGCAATGGGGCGCTGTGCTCACCTCCCCCGTGCAATGCACGAGCTGGGGGAGGGAGCAGGGATGGAGCGGCTGCCGTTGCCCCAAACGGGGGG